GACATCCCGAGCATGTTCTCTTCATCAGTTAACGGTTTCCACTTGAACAGTATCATGAGTCCATGTGTGCCGAAGCACTCAACAGTCACTGCAAAATATTTTGGGACAAATTTTTTAAAGGTTTGTTTATGAAAAAGTCAAACTTGGTGTATACACTGACACACGAGCTGGACTGGCAGAAGACTGGAACAAAAGCTGTAGCTCTGCTTTTACTGATGAAAGCTAAAGCTGAGCAGCCCTCAATCAGTTGTGACACCACTTGTCACCTCCGGTGTTGCTCCTCCAGAATGACATCAAATGAACACTGCATGGATGCGCTAGACTGAGGTAGGTATTGTTGTAACAAATAATTTGCACTGCAGGAACAAGTGTGCATCATCAACGTGGACTGTCACTAGGCCCTCAGAGAGGTCATCAAGCATCTTGGAAGTAAAAGGAAAACAGGAATTAGCCACCCAGTGAACACTGTACCCTATTACACATACGTGTAAATCCCGACACCTAAACACATGAGTATATAAGCAGGATTAGTTACCTATAGAGGAAAGCCCACTTTTTGAAAATGGCTCATTACCATGGAGGTGACAAGATGTGGGCAGGTCCATGACTAGAGGGGTGTGGGCTGTCATGCGACAACCCCTATGCTCCATCCTCCTTTCTAACATAATCACTAGCAAATTTATTACTGATATCTATGTTACCACATACTTCTTTTTCAAAGTCTATTTCAAAAGCAAAAAGGTACAACTATTTTATTTTTAAAATCCCTTTTAAAATGAGAATATATTTGCTGCCCGCTTTATTTGTGGAACAAAATTATGCAAACAGTTTTACATACAGCCCTGATTTTCGTGGTTAACGAAGCAGAAGTCGACATAAAATATAATTACCGCCTACTAAAAGTGAAGCGCCATTGCTGAGATTAGAAGCTAATACGGGCCATTTTGAAATGTAGATGCCTGCTTGTCTTTCAAAACAAGACGATTTAAAGATAAACCGAATCTGTTTGGTTATTAAATGCGACTTTATATTTTCATGCTTTGCACATATTAAAAGTAACGGTTGATTTTAGGAGATGTTTGGGTGTTCAACCGTGCGGCTTTATAACTGTATCGTATTATAATCAAACTTTCATCTATCATCTCTCGTGGCGCTGGGTGCAGGCAATGTTTTCATGAACAAAGGGAGAGGAGAGCTTTTCAGTACACTGGCAGGGTATGTTTTGAAGCATTCATGATTCAGTATACCACTAATATAATGTATGTATGCAACCAAACTAGGACAATGAACCGGGCAGAAAGACAGACGGAGGGGCAGATGAACAAACAGACAGACAGACAGACAGACAGACAGACAGACAGACAGACAGACAGACAGACAGACAGACAGACAGACAGACAGACAGACAGACAGACAGACAGACAGACAGACAGACAGACAGACAGACAGACAGACAGACAGACAGACAGACAGACAGACAGACAGACAGACAGACAGACAGACAGACAGACAGACAGACGGGAGACAGACAGACAGACAGACAGACAGACAGACAGACAGACAGACAGACAGACAGACAGACAGACAGACAGACAGACAGACAGACAGACAGACAGACAGACAGACAGACAGACAGACAGACAGACAGACAGACAGACAGACAGACAGACAGACAGACAGACAGACAGACAGACAGACAGACAGACAGACAGACAAACTGTGGACATGTAAATAATATGAAATGTTGTACGTGACCATTATGTTAATGAAGAAAATGGATTCAAATTGTCTAAAGCTGTGGAAAAGTAAACAAGAAGCAATTGTCTTCATTCCCATTGCTGTACCCAAGTGCTAGTGAAAGTTGGAGAATCACTGAAGATATGAAACGAAAGTTATATTTAAAAAAAAAAACAATAACAGGCATATAGGGCTAGACCTACATTTTAGAGACCATCCAATAGGTTATGTGTTCAATATCACACCGCTGCTTGTACTTTACCTGGTACCCATTTAAGGTTGGGTCGACCCCAAGGTAACTTTGGGGAAAAAAGTTCGGTCTGTCACAATCTGAACCCACGACCTTCTGATCCGCAGACAATTGTCTAGACATGACATTCAAAAACAAACGGCTGAGAGTAGTAGTAGTACATTTTACCCCACTAGGACATCACACAAACGATAAACACCCGATGACACAAAGTGTCAGCATGTGGATGAGGATCACCCGTGGAGAGGTCCCAGAAACCGCGTTCAGCCATTAGACCATATTTATGGCCGGGCCATTTTTCGGCCCCTGGCAAGAGCCAGAGTGGGGCTTCAAAATAACAAAAGATTGCAACCCACAGGCTGATGACTAGTAAACTAAAAAACTTATTAGAAATGGCTCTGAAAAAAAGAGTGTTGTTAAATAGAGTTGATTCAATAAGGGTGAAGAAATGAGAGGATTGTCTGGGCAACTATTCGTATCAACAGTTGTAAGACAGAATACAGGGCTATAATTGGACATATTCTGAGCAAAGAATAACCAAACAAGCACCAAAGTAGGCGAGGACGCCCGAAAGAAAACCTAAAACGAATATTGAAGAGAAACCAAGAGTTCTGGACTGGACTGTGTCCATAATGTCGAACTGACTGCATAGGATAAATCAGAATGGAGGAATAGACTGAATAGACTGCGAGCCCTATGTGCCTTATTCTGTCACAACAGGACAATGAATGATTAAGTAATGGTCTTTTCCATGTCTTCCCTTATTGGGTATATTGTGTTAGCTCAACATGTGTTATTGGATATGCAAGCTTACTGTTTTAGTCGGGGCAAGTTTTTGCTTTTGACAATAATTAGCCCTTGCTATTTCTTCTACAGTAATAGTTACGTCGTCCAGCTATTGAGCTTAGTGCGTTGCGCAACACTGTGAACTGCGTATTTCATTTGGAATAATTTTTGACTGACCAACGAGATGTGAATTGTGAGCTGCAGATTCAGAAACTGCCGAGTTGCCTGTTTTAGAGAAGTAGTGGTACCTTATGCAGATAATTGCGTGTGCAGCTACTGATCTGTTTCAACTTCCGCTCCCATTGATGATAAGCTGCATTTCTCTTCCTTTCGGAAGGTTAGTGTTCTGACGGGTTACTGTTGCATCTAATGCGTGTCTAAGTCGTTGGCTTTGCTAAGACTGCAGTCTGTGTTAATTTTTTAAATTTAATTTCACAAGATACATTGATGACTATCGGTGACGATTCAGTTGGTGACGTGGTCTATAACAGAGGTACCATTAAATGCTAGGGAAGTCGCCGTGGCGTTGGCGGCTAGACCCGCGCCTGCGGATCGGAAGGTCGTAGGTTCGCGTCCTGATGGAGCCGGACTTTTTATTCTTTTCAAAAATGACCTTGACTCCCAGGTGGACCCAGCCTTGAGTGGGTACCAGGTGCAGTCATAGAAAGTAAAGGCGGTCGGCGTACTTCTGACCACATCACCCACCAAGTGCCGATTGGTTTATAAAAAAAATAGATCTATATTCCTAATACGCCTAAAGGCGTGGAAAATGGACCGTTACTTGAATTGAATGTTGGGACTACATGTGAGTTCAGAACCGTTTTAATACACAAGAAGAGAGTGGCTCGGAGGGCGGACTGATTAACTCATGACTACTGTGATCGCCACAACTAGTATGCTACTTTGAGCTTAAAATAATTACATATCTAGGTCTGAAGAAGTGGAACTAATTCAAAAGGCTAATATCATGACTTTTCCCCTCTCAAAAGTGCCGGTGCTCATCACAACATGTCTAATAAGTGTTGCAACTCACCACAAAATGTCTAATAAGTGTTGCAACTCACCACAAAATGTCTAATAAGTGTTGCAACTCACCACAAAATGTTTAATAAGTGTTGCAACTCACCACAAAATGTTTAATAGGTGTTGCAACTCACCACAAAATGTCTAATAAGTGTTGCAATTCACCACAAAATGTCTATTAAGTGTTGCAACTCACCACAAAATGAATACTGCAAAAATGCTGACAAAAGTTGCCTGCAAAAGGTGTCGGTACTGCGTACAGCCAGAAAAAAATCCCTGGTTAGTATAGCAATTATATGTGAAAGAAGACAACAACAAGTTTATCAAGTTTATTGGAATCATAAAGAAATGTGTGTTGAAACTTTTCGTTCTGAAGAGTTAATTATTTTACAGTAAGGCATTTTTCAAAGTCTTTAAACGTTTTTTGATATTTGATAGTGAGAAAAAGTAAATAAAATAGCAAGTGAATGTTTCGGCGAGTGAGTGAGTGAATAGGCGAGTTTGAAAAAGAAAAAATTAACAAATACACAAATTCAGTGATAGAGATAGAAAAAGGAATGGTTACTTGAGACATCTCCCATCGTTCTGTGCGTAGAATCCACATAGATTTCCGTGCTATGTTTTCCTCTCCCCTCCAAAACCTGTTCCATTACATATCAGAGTTAATGTAAACCAGATATTCTAACATTGACATAAATATCTGACACCGAGTCTTTCTGTGCAAGTCTAAACGCTCTTATCTGCAAGACCAGAGGAAATTGGGCAGAATGGGACGAGAGATATTTGTAGTTTGAATCAAACTACAGTGCTGACACACAGTTGGTTCGTCGACCCATAGTCGATTCATGAAAGATTAACCGAGCTTGACACCCTCTCGCTACGTGTGTCCAATAACACGGCTTGGATGGCTGTCAATTTTGGGCTGGCGCGCGAGTCGTGATGCGTGACATCTTGAGGGTGGAGCTAATAACTGATCGACGACCAGACTGGGGGTGTTAAAGGCTTGAAAATATTGTCCCCGACATTATGACGAGGTTTATGAGCCGTGCGACGACTGGGACTACCTCTTCCTTGTAGACATCACCTTGATCACAATGCTCATTTCTGTGGCCACTCCAACCGGCGTTTGTTGCTCGTGTTCGTTTACGCTTGTTTCATTATTTGTGGTGTAAGGTAAGCATATAAATTGTTGAAAAATTACATAATGTGTGCCCCATCGCAAGGCGCCATGTTGCCCTATGGACTGAAAGTGCCGTCACCATATTTCCCGTTTGGACCTAACGGTGGACTCACACAAGTACATTTATCAGCCTTAGACTTCCAAAGGTCTCAGATCAACGATTACAACGTGCGTGTTCAGTTAGGCTTGCGTAATTATCAAAATTCTGTAGGTTTGTCTTCTTTTCAAGCGTACTTTAACGACCCCTACACTCAAGCTTATTTTTATAAACATGACCCTCGGGCCCGATTTGTGCAAGAGGAACCCAAACCTAGTCACAGCTATATAGGTCTCATCGGGATGGCTATTCTTAACTCTAAGGAGAAGAAGTTAGTTCTCAGCGATATTTACCAGTGGATTCTTGATAATTATCCGTACTTCCGTACTCGTGGCCCTGGCTGGAGAAACAGCATTAGACACAATTTGTCCCTCAATGATTGTTTTATTAAATCTGGCCGAAGTGCCAATGGGAAAGGGCACTACTGGGCCGTGCACCCAGCCAATGTGGAAGATTTTGAGCGAGGAGATTTCCGTAGACGTCGGGCTCAGAGAAAGGTACGTCGTCACATGGGCCTGTCTGTACCGGATGATGATGATAGCCCGACTCCATCTCCAACACAGTCTTGGACTCATAACGACGTCACGCAGGACTCGGATGTTGGTCACATAGATCCTTTGGCTATACCTAATGACCACGCAGTTAGACCTGTACAATCGCGACCTGATGCAGATCATATGGTGATTTCTCATTCAAATCCAACCTACGGCCCAGTGCCTGGTCAGCCCAGGAAACCCAGTAGGAAGAGGTTATTTGACATGGCCAGCCTGTTAGCTCCAGATGATGATGATGATGAAGACAAAAATGGAGTGCAGGAATCACATAAACAGCAGATGCACAGTCAACAAATACACGCATCAGGTTTCACGTTTCACCCAATTCAAGAACAAAAGCCACAAGATAACACAGACTCATTGCACGACAAAAACATCGACAAAATAGAATCTAACTTTATCCACGAACCGGTAGCCAACATTAACTGTGACAAAAAGAAAGACACTCATTTCTTTAGTGACGACGAAAATGAAAACGACGAGATACAGGTGACGTCAGGAGAAGAATCTCCCTCCGAAGAGCAAGACAGTGATTATTTCACAGGTAGGATTTTATTAACTAGCGATAAGTTTAAAAATGATAATAATTGTGCCATTGCAAGTCAAATTCGCACGGAAACCGGCGCCATGGAGACGTCAAGACATTCTTCTAGTCCACACGAAACCACGCAAAAGAACGAGAATGCCCTGGATTTGTCTTCACCCATTCAGTTTGCAAATGAGAAGAAACTCACAAATTCTCCGTGTACACCTGAAGTCCATAAGAACATGGAATGTCAATTATTTGAGAACACTCTTGTTTTAAAAAACGATGCTGCTTGTTTCAAGGAGCACAATGTCAAGTCTGATGAAGCACAGTTGAAGACACAGAACAACTGTGACAAGTGCAATGGACATCGCAGGTCAGAAATGGCTCATGAACTCCACGGTAGATCCTCAACTTGCAACAACTGCGAGCAGACTAGACATAAAAAAAGTGACTCGGTGATGGGGAAGGTCTCCTATCGTGATAAATATGAACTTCGAGATGAAAACATCCTCTCCAGGATCAATGGCTCTTTTGACAATGCTAGAAGTTTAACCGACAAAATGCATTATTATCGTTCAGAATTACAGGGTGCACGCAGAACGCATCACCAAAGCACTGGAGAGTCCCAGTTTGTGACAATGGACTCAGGCGCGTCTGAGAATGAAAGAAGTGTCGATGTAGAAGCCACAGGACGAACTCCAGAAAACTTAGTTTTTGTTTCCGAAGCTGCCAGAATACCGAGTGATCATCTGCTTTGGGCAGACATGGCCAAGAACTCTCTCCCCAGGGATAGACTTAGCGCTTTCAGCTCTTTAGGAATCAGGCACCAAGCGGTGTACTCGCCTTTTCAGTTGAGAAACTTTCACCATACTTCCCAAAGAATGCTACCTGGCAGCTACGCCTATGAGAGCCAGTATAACCGATCCTATGCTCTCCATACCGGCAACTTCGTTATCGACGCCTATAACCTTGCTGAAGAGTGGGGACAGTGGCGTAGCCAAGGCGGGCCACATCAGCAATAATATCAACAGCATCAAAGCTAATAGCAATATCGGATTGAACAACTGTGATTAACTAAAGGACTTCTGTCTAACTGGTATGTATTTATGATCTTTTATCAACATATAAAATGTTGAGTAGCTGTCTCATATAATGTTAAATGTTTTTGAAATCTAAGATAACAAACCATCTCATTCCCGTGTAAACTGGCTTCCTCAATATCCCTATCATTTTCTCTGTTTACGTTATGTGTTTAACGTGTTACATCACCAAAACAAGTAAAATCATGGTAACATTTGTTTACTGGTCTAATTATTAATATTTTCACTCCTCTATCGCTACACT